TGGGGGTGGGGTGGTGGGGGAGTCCCTTCCCGGTCCAGCTTCTGGAAGCCACCTGTGGTTTTTGCTTTTTCTGGGCCCGTGGCTCCCAGTGCCCTCTAGTGGTGGCAGAATGACAGTGACAGCCCACAGCCCCCTTACAAGGACCTCGGGAAGACATCGGGCCCACTGGGATGGCCGCCATGTGCCGCCTCACGCCCGCGAAGCCCCTTTGCTGGGAAAGGAGCCCTGGGCATGGGGGCCATCATCCGCCTGCCACCCTGCCTACTCCTCCTCTTAGAGGTGGTGTGAGGGGCCAGCAGGGGGTGTGGTGGTTGAGGCCCTGGACTCCCACATGGCCAATCACGGTTCGAGTCTCAGTTTCTCACTTTTCATCTCTGCCTGGTCCAATTTTAAAATAATAAATAAAATTAAACAAGTAATTATTTTTTAAAAAGTGATACAAGGGGCCGGCAGTGGCGTAGTGGTTGAGGTGCTGGACTCCCATATGGCCACCTATGGTCTGAGTCCCAGACCCGGCCACAGGAAAATCGCAAATCACACTGGGTGTGCACGCGTGCCCAAAATCCCAAGAGGAGAAGGGACTACAGTGTGGCCATCCTCCTGGGGGGTAATTTCTCACTTTCTCTGTGTCTCTCTGTCTCTCTCCAGCAAGTGCACGCATCCTATGGGGAAAAATTTTAAAAGATCTGAGAGCATAGAACCAGTAGTTAGTGTAATGGCTATGTCGCTGAACTCCCACGTAGTCAACTGCAGTTCGAGTCCCGGGCCTGGTGGCTTAAACTCACACGGGGCACATGTGCGTGCGTGCCCAAGATCCCGAGAGGAGAGTGGAGGAGAAGGGACTGCAGCATGGCCATCCCCCTTGGGGGGTGATTTCTCGCTTTCTATCTCTGTCTTCCTGGTGAGCACACACGCCCTATAGCAAAAACCTAAAAAAAAAAAAAAAGGTCTGAGAGCCAGCTGTGCCTGGTGGTTGAGGCAGCTGGGTCGAGTCCCAGACCCAGCCGCTTGACAGACACACGGGACATGTGTGTACGCATGCCCAAATCCGGGAGGAGAGTGGGGAGAAGGGACTGCCGCGTGGCCATTTCCCCGGGGGGTGTTTTCTCTTTCCCGCTCTCTTCCAGTGGGCAAACACACAGCAAGTTAAAAAAAAAAAAAAGTTCCAGTGGGGACCCCTCCTTCAGCCCGAGGTAGTCATTTTCCAGGCCTGAAGCAAGGGACCGCCTTGACCCCCCCCCCAGCCGGACAAGCCAGCGGTCAGTTCCATGGTGCGGACAGGTGAGCAGTCAGAACCATTCCAGGACCGTGCAGCAGGCGGAGAGAGGCACGTAGGGCGGCTGTGCCCCCCTGGGAACCAAGGAGCCCAGCCAGGACTACAGCCAGGACAGTCGCAGGCAAACCGGAGCTGGCCACCCGTATCCACAGGAAGGTGGGCCGAGGGTTGGGGAGAGAAAAGCCCGATGTGTGCAGCAGTGTTCGAGCCCCTTGGTCCCGCTATGCCTGATGCAAGCGGCCCCTGGACTCGTTCTAAGAGTCAATACAATTCTCTTTGTGTTGAATCTAGTTCGGGTTGGGATTTCCGTCCCTCCCATAGAAAGATCCTTGAATACGGGGGCCTTCGCGCGGCCGGAGAGGACGAGAAATGGGAAGTGGGGCGTGGAGGTCGGGCTAAGACGAGCCCGGCCCGGCCGGGGCGCGGGGGGACTCACCGCCAGCTTCGCCTGCCGCTCGCGCTCCTTCTCGGTTCGGAAGCGTTGCTGCTCCGCCCTCTCGGCCCCGCG